AGTTAGCTTTAGCGGACTTTTTATCACAATATAAGTTTAACAATTGAGTAATATTGGTGGTGATAATTTATTTTTTTTCCTGAATTGGTGGTGGTAATTTAAACCCACTATTTGTAAACGTTGAATTGCTAATAGCTAAAAAAATGGAGTATGATACAAATATTGTGAAAAAAATCACAAATATAATTGATTTGTGACTTTGTGTACTTCGATCCCTACATATAAAATGTAATTAGGATAGTATGATTCCTTTCTTTGGTTAGGAGAGAATTCGATTTCAAATATAATTATTGATTAAAATTTTCATATAAATAATAAATACATCAAATTAAAAAAAAATAAAAGTTCAAACACAAAAAATTTGAAGAATATTGAAAAGAAATATATTGATTTTAGTGAACTATATTTTATTTAGTGAGAGATTAAACTTGTAACGGTAGAAAATAACATTACTTTTTGGATTAAATTAAGTAAAATTATATAGAAATAAATAAAAATTTGTGTCATAGTATAAAAATCTATATTTCCTTTTGAGTAATGTAAGTTTATACTAATTCCTTGGTGAATGGAAAAATCAATGAGAAAAGAAAATTTAAGAGATACCTAATATTATTTATTTTTTTATTTTTATGTAAAACGTATAAATTGATTATGCATTAAATTATGGGAATAATTTATAAGGAATTCTATTAAACTTTAATAGGAATTCAATTATTAAAATTTTTAATAGGAATTCATTATTAAAATTTTTATATATTTCCTTGTCTAATTAGATAAACTATATTATTATTTTCTTTATATATTTCCTTGCCTAATTCGGTTTCCTTTTATTAAAAAACTCATAATAAATAGGTTGTTTGAGTTTTATAGAAATTCTTATAAGCACCTTATATTAATTAAAAAATAAAAACTCATAATAAAAAGGTAATTTGTGTTAGAATTTTAAAGAGATAAAAACATTAATTATTAATAGAACTTTTTAATAGGAATTCAATTATTAAACTTTTTAATAGGATTCAATTATTAAACTTTTTATATATTTCCTTGTTTATATTTCATTGTCTAAAATTACGTTTTCTTTTATTAAAAAAACTCATAATAAAATTTTCTTTAATTGTGAAAATTAAAATTTCTTTAACATTGTGCCTCACTTTATATAATTTTTTGATATTACTATATTTCTTTCAGATGCTCATTACTTTTGTTTTTTTTTTTTTTTTTTTGAAAAGTTAAAACAAAAGTATGGATATATAAAATAAATAAAAAAATTGTATAAAGACAGGCCTTAACACCACATATATATATATATATATCACAATTAAAAGCAGTCCGTTCAATTCATAGATATAGTGCCCTTTGGTACAATTCATAGATGTGGTGCCCTTTGGTAATGGTGGTGACCGTAACATGACCAACATAGCTGCATCCATGCATTTATAGTTTTTTGAATTTTTTGGATGAAAATTTTATATGATTTAATAAGAATAATTTGATATTTTAAAATAATAATTTTGAGAATATTTTGAACATTAACAATGATTCTCGATGCATATACAATTATTTTGTTTAATTCAATCAAAGTGAAAAATAAAGTTTTAAAATTGACTAATTTGTACTTTTATGTAAAAAGTATAAATTGGCTATGTATTAAATTATGGGAATAATTTATAAAGATCCTATTAAATTTTTTTTATAGGAATTAATTATTAACTTTTTATATATTTCCTAGTCTAATTAGAGAAACTAAATTATTTAATGTCTTTATATATTTACTTTCTAATTAAGTTTCCTTTTATTAAAAAAAAAAAAAACTCATAATAAATAGGTGATTTCAGTTTTATAGAAACTCTTATAAACATCTTATATTAATTAAAAAATAAAAACTCATAATAAATAGGTAATTTGCGTTAGAGTTTTATAAAAACTCTTATAAAAACTCTTGTTTATATTAATTAATAAATATTTTTATATTTAAGAATGCACCAAAAATAAAAAATGGGAAAAAAGTCAAAAATTTTACATACTAACAAGACTCAAAACAATAAATTAAGATTGAACCAAAAATAATAATAATAAAAACTGAAAAAAAAAATTAACATATAAAAAAAAATTCAGTAATAAATTCAATTCAAAATCAAGTCCAACCCAAACTCAAAATATATTGAAATGCAACTCAAAATATTAAATTAAGAGTGAACAAAATAAAATAAAAAAAAACTGGAAAAAAAAAAAAATTCAATCCATAACAAAGAGTAAAATAAAAATAAAAACTAAATAAAAAAGAAGAATGATACTTCTAAAATATAAAAAGTAAAGAAGAAAAATAACAATAATTAGTCAAAATAATATTAAATTAAGAATGAACAAAAAAAAAAAAAAAAATGAAGAAACAAATCACAATCCAAAGTAAACTTACCAAATCAACCATTTCTAAACATCAATTAAAAAGAGAAAAATAAAATAAAATAAATCAACTACTTCTAAACATCAATTAGAAAGAGAAAAATAAAAACAAAACAAAACAAAAAAACACAAAAAAAAAAAATTGTATAAAAAAATTTTAGCAACAAATTCAATTCAAAATCAAGTCCAATCCAAACTCAAAAAACATTGAAACGCTACAAATGGAGATTATACTTATGTCACAAACATAGGATTCGTTTCAAGGACGAATTCAAAAATTGTCAATGGGGTGAACTAAAATTAAACATAAATTTAATAACACAATCAATTTCTTAAGCAAATTTTTTTATTAGGGCTTGTTTGGCTTGGACTTTTATTTTAGTATCGTGGCTTAACTGACTTGGGCTTATTTGGGTGAGCTAATATTAATAATTATTTATTTATTTTCGACTGGGCCCATGGTAATAAATTTTTATTTTTATTTTGTTTTGGGTGGGCTGGAGCCCCGCCCAACCCTCCCCTAGATAGGCCATTGATCATTTCCAAGGCATGATTAGATTACCGGGCCATTCGGTCGGCAACTGAATGGACTCCTGAGTCTTCACCGTGGACCTTGCTCCAATAGGTTCCTTTGCTTGAACGTGCTGTTCATCAGATGTTTTCTTTGTCACACGTCATTCCGAAACGACTTCATCTTCATCTCGAACTTCGCTTCTCTCCTTTGTCATCTAAGCCGACTCAAAATATTAAATTAAGAATGAACCAAAAATAAAAATTATGAGAGAAAAATAAAAATAAAACAAAAGAAGGAAAAAAAAATAGAAAAAAAAATTAACATAAAAAAAAATTTCAGCAACAAATTCAATTCAACCACTTCTAAACATTAATTAGAAAGAGAAAAATAAAAATAAAACAAATCAATTACTTCTAAACATCAATTAGAAGGAAAAAAATAAAAATAAAAAACAAAAGAAGAAAAATAAATATAGTAAAAAAAATTAACATATAAAAAAATTTTAGCAACAAATTCAATTCAAAATCAAGTCCAACCCAAATTCAAAAAACATTGAAACGCGGACTCAAAATATTAAATTAAGAGTTAAACAAAAATAAAAACTGGAGAAAAAAATTACAATCCAAAGTAAACTTACAAAGAGTAAATAAATAAATAAAAACTAAATAAAAAAGAAGAATGATACTTCTGAAAAATAAAAAAGTAAAAGAAAAAAAAATAACAATACTCAAAATAATAAAAAATTAAGAATAAACCAAAAAAATAAATAAATAAATAAAATCACAATTCAAAGTAAACTTACCAAATCAACCACTTATAAACATCAATTAGAAAGAGAAAAATAAAAATAAAATAAATCAAACACTTCTAAACATCAATTAGAAAGAAAAAATAAATAAAAATAAAAAACAAAAGGAAAAAAAAAATAATAATAATAATACTTCTAAAAAGAAAAAGTAAAAAAATAAAATAAAATAACAATCTAAGTTAAACTTACCAAATCAACAACAACTATTGTTGCCTTCTCAATACCAGTTATAAATAGAAAAAATATGCACACCACAAGCCTGATCCAATATATATATATATATATATAGGTTATATGTGATAGATTTTTATAGAAAATAAAATAGGTAATTTTTGGTATAGTTTTATAGAATTTATTTTTTTTTAAATATTTCCTTGTCTAATTAGATTTCCTTTTATTAAAAAACTCATAATATTACACCTTATTTATTTTTATTAAAAAACTCATAATAAATAGGTAATTTGAGATTTATAGAAACTCTTATTATTTTTATTTTCTTTAAATATTTTCTTGTCTAATTATATTTTATTTATTAAAACGTCATATAAAACTCATAATAAATCGGTAATTTGAGTTTTATAGAAACTCTTATTTCTTTAAATATTTCCTTGTCTAATTAATAAATAGATAAATAAGTAATTTGTGTTAGAATTTTATAGAAAGTCTTATTTTTATTTTCTATAAATATTTCCTCATAATAAATAGATAATTTGAGTTTTATAGAAACTCTTATTATTTTCGTTTTCTTTAATTTGTGTTAGAATTTTATAAAAATCTTTTTAAAAACTCTTTTTATATTAATTAATAAATATTTTTTTATATTAATAAATAAATACTAAAATATTAAAGCTCTTAACACTTTTAATAATAGGATAGATGTTGCACTGTGAATCGGAAAGAGAAATTTAGAATCTCAACAGCACCCAATCATGAAATAGTTTGGAAAGAGTTAACATCCTTAACCATCACATTAGACTTTTCCACACCTTTGATAAGTTGTGATCAATTCCAATCGGCCTTGACAAATTCATTTTGGGTCCTACTTCCAGTCTCCAGGCAATAATACTACACCATTCACTTGGTATTTTGGCTCATGCAGTAATGAACTGTTGTGTTTTTTTTTTGGTACATAATTTCTATTTGTGTCCTTAACAGGAGATAGAAAAGTATAGCCGTCCAGTGCAGAAAGTCTAGATATGAAAGTACCAACAAACTCCCAATAGAAAGTTTTTGACTTACCCCCCTCTTAGTCCTCGATCTCCTTTATAACCCTATTCCCCCTCCTTTTTTTCTATAACAAAGAGTTTCAGTACTTCAAAACCAATCTCTCTCTCTCTCTCTCTCTCACACACACACACACACACACAAACACACAGTCTCACATGATGCCTAAACCAACATTCCAACCCAATCAGGTCATCTCTCTTTACATTGCCTTCTTAGCCTCCTTTGCTTCCTTAGCAACCATCACTGCAACAGCCAGTCCTATGAATGTCACTATAACTCTTTCTCAACAATTCAAAGAAGCCCCAGAATTCTTGAATTCCCCAAACTGCCCCTCCGTCCCGGACAAAGACACCGGTGAAGACAGCTACGTGTGCTCCGACAATGCCGTCCACGTAGCAATGACCCTTGACGCCGCCTACCTCCGCGGCTCCATGGCCGCCATCCTCTCCGTCCTCCAACACTCCTCCTGTCCACAGAACATAGTCTTCCACTTCGTTGCCTCGGCTTCCGGAGGCCCGTCCCTCCCACGCGCCGCCATCTCCTCTTCCTTTCCTTACCTGAAATCCCAATTCTACCCGTTCGACGACTCTGCCGTGGCCCGCCTCATCTCCACCTCCATACGCTCCGCCCTCGACACCCCACTCAACTACGCTCGCACCTACTTGCCCAACCTCCTCCCCCTGTGCGTCACCAAAGTGGTGTACCTCGACTCAGACCTCGTCCTCGTCGACGACATCGCCAAACTGGCCGCCACCCAACTCGTCGGGGACTCAGTCCTCGCCGCCCCAGAGTACTGCAACGCCAATTTCTCCTTTTACTTCACACCCACCTTCTGGTCCAACCCTTCTCTGTCCTTGACGTTCGCCAACCGGAAGGCGTGTTACTTCAACACCGGCGTGATGGTGATCGATCTCGACCGGTGGCGGGCCCGGGATTACACGACGAGGATCGAGGAATGGATGGAGCTTCAGAAAAGAATGAGGATTTACGAGCTCGGGTCTTTGCCGCCTTTCTTGTTGGTGTTCGCCGGAAATATAGCTCCCGTGGATCACCGGTGGAACCAGCACGGTCTAGGTGGCGATAATTTCCAGGGACTTTGCCGGGATTTGCACCTGGGTCCGGTGAGTCTTTTGCATTGGAGTGGGAAAGGGAAGCCTTGGGCTCGAATTGACGCCAAACGGCCATGCCCGTTGGATGCTCTTTGGGCTCCTTATGATCTCCTAAAGACTCCATTTTCTTTTGATTCTTGAACTACAAAGGTATATCTAGATATATATATATATATATATATATATATATATAGGTATATGTAGACAGTAGATTTATGAACTGCGCGCATGAATGATGAAAATAAATATTAGGCTGTATATATGAGTGATATAGCAATCCATAATATATATATATATGTATGTATATATATATATACACACACACTGCCTAGTGAATTATACACACTTTGTATATTCTTTATCTACCTCTCTACGACTCTACTTAGTACATGCATGGAGGATTTACTGCAGTTTTTGGTTGTAATAAGAATAGATTCCGGCCAAAGCAATGGATTGTAATTATTATAATTATTATTATGTTTTTTTTTTTTTTCCGGTTTAATTTGAATTTTTTTTTTTTTTTTTTTAATGATCATATCAATCTATCATTTCTAAATAAAAATAATTTTTTTTAATAAAAAAAACACCTTGTTATATCTTCACTGAATTATTAATTAGCATGATTTCTAGGTTACAATAAAACACCATTTTTACTGAATTACCTCCAGATCCATTCTCATTTTAAGAAATTCTTTAGGAATTCTTTTTATTAATATATGTATGTATATATATATACATATAGCACTATATTAAATAGAGATAAAGTAGTAAAATAGAGGTTGAGTAGAAGTTGATTAGAAAAACTATTATAAGTTGGGATTAATAATAATAATTAAAAAAATCTTTATTGGACTTTAATACATGCGACCAATTAAATTAATCAGCATTCAAGAAATTATAAAGATCTAGCTAGAGTTTTGTTGGGCTGGCCCTTTTTGTATATATAATTCTCTTCTTTGTTAAAAATTGTTGATTTACCCAAGAAAAAAAAATAAAATAAAATAAAATAATCCAGCAAGTCTCTTCCAAATTATTTTCATCATTGCCAACTGTTTTTTGGTTTTTCTAAAATTGACATTTCTTTTTCATTGGCAGCTTCTTTTCACATTAAACATTTTTTATTCGAGTTCACTGGTCAATTCTTACAAAACCAATACACACACGGACTATGGAGACATAGATATTATATTTTTACCCCAAAATAAATAAATAAATTGATGGACTATAAGATAACGAAAAGATTTTTTTTAATTTTTTTTATGTCGAAGATAAGGAAAAGATTTTCTCATAACAACAACACATAAATAAAAATTCCAACAATCTAAAAATCTAACCAGAGACTTATAAAATCTTTTTTTTTTTTTTTTTTTTTTTTTTTTTTTTTTTTTTTTTTTTTTTTTTTTTCTAGAATCATAATCCTTATTTATGAAATAAGAATTCCAAAAATATAAAATCTGTAATCAGAGAGAAATAGGTCATCTAAGAATCTACTCCTACAATCTTATTTTATTTTTTAAAAATACTCAGTGATATTTGTAAGAAAATTTTCAGAATTATTTATTTACATATGGAGCCAAATATATAAAAACTTTAGCCCCAACAGAGACTCGCCATTTGTTTATATGTTATGCTCCCTATGAAACCCGAGTAAAAATTAAATAAGATGGTTGCAATATATTAGATTGCATATTGTCATGCTATTTGACCCGACAAATAAAAGCTTACTACTTCATGAGTCTACGTGGCTAATCATGTGTCAGATATAATGGGACCCATTTTAAAATATAAAGTAATTTTTTCCCCTAAAATATAAGGTAATTATAACTATTTAGAAAGTTGCAATCTTTTTTTTCTAAATTTATCTTAATATAGTATCTTCGTTGGTGATTAAAGTTTCAATCACCATGTACATGTATATTTGTTTTATATTTCAAATTGCATCTATATAAGACCATTGATTGAGATACTTCATATTGTGTTTTTGATCATTAATATCTATTTATTACTTTGATAAGCATTTATTAATTGGTATAATGATCAAAATTAATTATCTATCTAACTCCCAAAAACAAAGAAAAGAATTTTGCAATTTAAAAAAAAAAAATTGCAAAAGTATGAAAAAATTATAAAACATTAAAGGTTTTGCTGAAAAAGAAAAAGAAGATGATATGACTGTGGAAAACTAAAAAAAATAAGGAAATAGGTTATAGAAAACATAAAAGATAAAGAAAGGAAAAATGAGTATTTTATGGAAGCAAACAAGAGTAATAATGATGCCTATTTCAATTCCATGTTATATTTTTATGTCTGTCCGGTTTAAATTGGGGTATGAAAGTCATCAAAATATCATTTTCCTTTTTGGAATCTTTGTTTTATAAGTTTTTTAGATATACAGTTTGTGAGATATGAAAATTTGAAATTCGGAAAAATTAAAATTTACATAAAAGGACATTTTGGTTCAAATATAATTGTTTTATTCCCTTAGATAGTTGAGGGGATTCTTTGGTAAAAAATCTGACAAACGGTTTACTGAAAAATGTTACAAGGAGGAATTTTTTTTATTCTTTGTCCATGTATGTATGTATATATATATATATATATATATACTGAATCTCAAAAAAAAAAAATCTTTCAGGTGCTCCACCTTTATTCTCATATAAATAAAATTACAAAAGCATCCTTAAACCACGCCTTTTTTTATCCACTTAATCAGACTTATCTTTTATCTACTTCCAGTCACGCTAAATTGGATGATTAGAAAATCTCCATGTGTGTAATGAATTGAAGATCGACAAGTTCGGGATCGGGACTCGGCTACAGTGTCATTCTCGTCGGTGGTGAAAGAATGTTTCACCAAAAACGGCATCGTCCTTGCCAACCACCCAGTCTTAGCGACATCGTCTGTAAAAACCACATCTTGTCACAACCACCTATGGCGACCACTGACACAATATAGTAAATTGATTTGCTAAGGCTCATTTGTCTTAAACTAAGATAATATTTTATGAGCGATTGTTACAACCAGAATTATGTGATAGAATATATATAGTCACTATAATTGCAACTGCTTAGCTTTGTTTTATGTGTTAATTATAACAATATCACATGATTAATATAACAACGTCTCATCTCACATTTATAAAGAAAACTCTGAAAATAAAATAAATAACCATTAACGGCTATACTTTTTTGTTTCCATAATTTCATTAACGGCTATACTATTTTGTAAGTATAAATAAAATATATATTGTTAACTAAAATAAAATAGGGAGCTAATATATATATATATATATATATATATATATATATATTATTGGTTCTCTAAAAAAATCTTTAGGTGCTCCACCTTTATTCTCATATTAATAAAATTACAAAAGTATTCTTAAACCACGCCTATTTTTATCCACTTAATCAGAACTATTTATCCACTTAATCAGAACTATCTTTTATCTATTTCTTCACCGTCACGCTAAACTGTAGCTAGATTTAGCAAAATCAAATTAATGTGTGTAATGCAAAAAGTAAGTAAAAACTATAGCTAGATTTAGCAAAATCAAATTAATGACAAAACAAAAAAGAACCTAAATGGATTGAAAATCGACAAATTCGGGATTCGGACTCGGCTGCAATGTTATTTCCGTCGGTGATGGAAGAATGTTTCACCAAAAACGACATACACCATTCGTGCAGGTGGCTACTTATGCGACAAGGAATTTCGCTACCTTAGAACAGTTAGAGTTACTATCACCGTTTACTGGGGTTTTCATTCAAAGCTTAGAACTAAATAAAATGTCCTTGTAGGGGCAACATAATATAATTTGAGACCTTAGGCTAAAAAAATAAAATAATTTTTTAATAGATTCTATTCATATGTTCATGTTAGTAATATGTTTATTATTTGTTTTGTAATTTTTAAGCGTAGTACTAAATTTTTTTCAATCTCTAATTTTATCATTCGTTAATTGACTATGTACTTTTAAGAAGACATATTCGATCAACAATATAAATAAAAATGATGACAACTCACAAACAAAATAAATAATTTTATGATAACAAAATTTAATAAAATTATAAACAAATTGAAGTTATAGAACAATAGAAATTGATTTTGAAGAATGTAGTCCAATACTCCAAAAAATTCTTTAATAGAATAAAAGTTCATTCAAAGTAGTTTGACGGAGTGAGGTTGTAAATGGTAGGAGTGGAGAAGATGAAAATATAAAAAATAATTATAATGAGAGGAGAAAAAATTTGTGAGGAATTAATAAGAAAATTTAAAAAAAGAAAAGAAAAAAAAAAAGAAAAGAAAAGTTAATAAGTGTCTTAAAAAATATAGAAAGTTTTCACCACAATGATAATATTTATGGTTGGAGTAATGATAAGAATGAGTAATATATGTATATGTGTTATGTAATAAGGATGAGAGAGGGATAATAAAGAGTAATAGAAATATAGAAATATTTTGGGCTTAATATTAAATTTCTCTATTGATTGAGATTTAATAATAAAAGAAAATAAAAATTTCAAGAAGGAAAAAATTTTGCGTCCTGAAAAAAGAAAGAAGAAGGTGATAAATAATAAAAATCTTTAATAATTAACATAATTTTTTTAAAAAAATTATAATATATAAAAAAATAAAAATTTATGAGACTTTTTAATTAATAGGAGCCTTAGACTACCGTCTAACTTGTCTAATGCTGTAGCCGCCCATGTTTCCTTGCCAACCGCCCCGCCTTAGTGACATTGTGTGTAAATACTCATCTCGTCACAACCACCTATGGCGACCACTTACCCAATATGGTAAATTGATTTGCGAAGACTCATTTGTCTTAAACTAAGATAATATTTTATGAGCAAATGTCAACTGCTTAGGTTTGTTTTATATGTGTTAATTATAACAATATCGCATGATTAATATAACAACCTCTCATCTCACATTCATAAAGAAAACCCTGAAAATAAAATAAACAATGTTATTGGCAATGCTCATCCAATAAATAAGGTTAAAAAATAATTCAACCTTATTGTCTGAAGTGTTCAAGAAGTAATCTTTAATTAAACAAATAAATCACAAGACTACAATATATATCACATCAGATTTTGGTAGATGAGAGGTAATTGTTTTGTTTGAATTTTCAAATCCTGGCTTTAACTATCTGTTAATTGGTCAAACCAAAAAAAAAAACATTTCAAAGAATTTTTTGAATTAAAAAAATATATTTCTTTTATGAAGAGATTGGGGTGTCGGTGGGAAGGGGAAGGAGCAGCGAAGTGTGGAGGAGAGTGCTCCCCCGAACATTAATAGCTGGACGTTTCCGGTGTGACACGTGGCATGCAATAGTAGTTGTACGGCCTATGATAAAACAAAAAGTTAGGTTTACAAATTAAGAAATCTCACTTTGGGGGTCCACTTCTCTCTCTTCTAACGTCTACCGTCATGGATTGTTACGAATCTTACGATCCCGCGTACGACTTTGGTACCTGCTGGCTTGGTCCCGTGCTACCTAGAGATAATAAATCTACCAACTTTATTTTGATTTAATTTTTTTTGTCAAAATAATCGCAAAAACAAACAGATTTACATGAATCTTTTACTTTATAGTCATAGGGACTTTGGTACTTGCTGGCTTGGTCCCGTGCTACCTAGAGATAATAAATCACCAACTTTATTTTGATTCAATTTATTTTATTTTTTAATTT